GTTGGATGAGGCTTTGGGCAACCTGGTGTAGTGGAGGGTGTCCCTGCCCATGGCAGGGGGGTTGGAACTGGATGATCTTTGAGGTCCCTTCCAACCTGAGCCATTCTGTGACTCTTTCTCCCTCCCTTCAGCTATGGAGAAGATCCCCTAAGCCTTCTCTTCTGGCAAGGCTCCTCCTCATGCAGCCCAGGACACCAGTGGCCACCTTTGCTGGCTCAGCTTCAATGTGGTTACCCCCAGGACCTTCTCTGCAGAGTTACCCTCCAGCTGGGCACACCCAGCGTGTCCTGGTGCCTGGTGCTGTTCCTCCCCAGGGGTAGGACTTGGCATGTCCCTTGCTTGAAGTTCAGGAGGTTCCCATCAGCCAATTTCTCCAGCCTGTCCAGGTCCCTCTGGGTGGCAGTGCCGTCTCCTGGTGTCTCAGCCGCTCCTGCCAGTGTGGGACCATCAGCAAACTTGCTGAGGGGCCACTCTGCCCCATCGTCCCCATCACTGGTGAAGAGGAAGAGGATCTGACCCACTCTTGATCCCTGGACTACACCACTGAAGAGCAGCCTCCAGGCTTTGCGCTGCTCTTCAACCCCCTCTACGTAAGACCTCGAGCACCAACATTCAAAATCACACGTTGCAGAGAAGGGTCCAGGAGGTCGGACCTGCAACCCAACACCTCCTAAGCGACAGGCAGCAAAAAACCGCTCTGGAACCAATGGTAGAGCAGAGGGATGCACAGACCACTCTGCAATCACGCCCAACGACACAGCCATAAAAATAAAAGCTTTTTTTATTTTTTTTTTTTTTCATTTTAATCTACCATTACAGAAACATCTGAGTAACATTCTCAACAGGATGGGCAGCTCCGCAGCCCTGGGGGCGAGCACAGGCAGCCAGCTCTGGGGTCTGCCATGCCAGGCTCCCGAGCTGCCGCTGCTCCAGGTTCATGACAGCCTGCTCCTCACCCTTGGTGGGGAGACCCAAGCCTCGCAGCGTCAGGGTGTCACCTTTTTGTAGGTAATGTGGAGGTGTTGAGTCATGGGCTGTGTAGTGGTTGCCATCGAGACAGTTTGTTCGAGTTTCCCATCAGAATTGAGCCGGAATTTTCTGGTAATCTAAAAAGGAGGGAAGAAAAGAAACAATGAAATGAAGGAAACAGCATCCACAGACTCGATTGCTCATCAGTGCTTTCTACCTTCCCTTTGCCATCTTTGTGTTTGCTGTCAACGCACCATAGATGGAAGGTTACGCTCACGACAGCCATGCCAGTGAACGAGGAGAAGTTTTCTCTCCTCAAGAAGGCAGCCTTCTCCAAAATACCATCTCCAAGCCCCAAGACCGTTAGCCACGGAGCAAGGCAGTGTCCTGGCACTACTACTGACATCACCTCAGCGCAGACAGACCAACATCCCTCCACCAGAAGAGCAGCTCCCAGCTGGTGGCTCAGGGAGATGCTCTGCGCTGAACGACATCCCCAAGGCAGCCTTCAAAACCACTTGGGCTCTCCACAGGTCACCACGCCGTGCCAGAGTGAGGTGCTGCTCATGCTCCATGGGGAGATGGAAGCCTACTGAGCCTCGGCTTGCACCTGCAGCCAGGCTCCTGAAGCCTGAAAATATTTGAAAACATGCCTGTTCTCCCTACACTTGCTGAGGAACATGAGCAGGAATCGAACCCAGTCTAAGAGACCTTCTCTGGTCCCTGTGGAGCATCTCTTATCTACACGCATAGGGTGGCAGTTGAGGGCCACTCCTCAGAGAGGCAGGAGGAGGCCAATATGCTGCAGTTGTGGTTTAAGTCCCATCAGCATCGCTTCTAGTGGGGACAGACCCCCAGGGACTGCTCCTCTGTGTCCGTGTGAGGAGCTCCCTGCCCCTCAGCACAGCCCTGGCCAAGGGAACGGGTCTTCCTGCCAGAATGATGGCTAGGCTGAACCACAGCCAACCTGAACTGCAGGAACACAACATCAGGCTGAAGTTTTCTCAAAATGAGGAAAAAAGCAGCAGTACACGTGCACTTCTCACAACACTCGTGGTCTCTTCGTTTCCACGGGCAATTTACGCTTTTCTCAGTGAAGAAGAAAACGCACGGGAGCTGGTCACCTTCTCATTCCACATACTCCTCCACCAGCAAGGGCTTCCCAGATGCTCCCTGTGACCAGTACCCGGGCCTGAACTGCCCTCAGGTACCAGGTGAGCACAGACCTTCAGCTTGGGAAGTTCCGTCTTGCAGCCTTCAGCCAAAGCCAGCCTTGGAGCCTCAACCAGTAACACATTTGCTGGCTTTCTGTTGCCTTCCCCCCTCTCCTCCTGCCAGTCTATCAGCTCACATTTTGGGCAGTGGCTCTGAGAGGGTGGTCCATTTTATTTAAATTTTTAATTAGGAGCTCCGCTGCCTTGGTGACATTCACAGTATTTAATGGCTTTAGTTCTCCTGCTGTAGAAAGGAGGCAACAAGACAACACGGTATTTGCTGCAACCAAAGCACTGTCTTCTCTCCCCAGAGCCACCCCTCACTTGCCACCCTTCAAAAATTGCTGTCAGTCACTTGGTTCAGGTGTTATCAGAGAAAACAAGAGATGCAAGAACATGCCTGTACCTACATTCTTTGGGGGAGCTTGTTCAACCTTGCTGTCTTTCTCAGCTGCTGGTCAGCCAAGACAACCTCATACGTGACAGCCAGGGTTCCAGCAGTGACCTCAGTATGCCACACTAACTCCAGCAGTGCCACCTTACTCACAGCTGGCTGTACCAACAACAAACTGCCACGACACACACACAAAAAAAGTAAAAACCCCCCAAGCAGTCAACCAAGCTTGGAGCTGACAGCAAGCACCAGCCCTGCCACGCAGCCGCAGCTGGGAAGAGAACCCACAGCAGCTCGTGAACGCCCTGAAAAGCAAGTAAGCAAGATTTGCAAAGACAAGGTGGAGCTCCAGGGAAAGGCAGGAGTTCTGAAAATATCTTGATGAGGCCCAGTTCTGGACATAACGTTACTCATGCTGTAATTAATATGGAAAACCAGCATTAAGAAGTAACACCACTGCCGTACAAGGGTGTTTAGACAAGACTTTCCTATTCTCTTCCCTAAGGACCTGTTACTGGCCACTGCTGGAGACAGGATTCTGGGCTGGCTGGTCTGATTCAGCACATCAGTTCTTATCTGAACAATCCCTCTGGGTCTTGTAATGTACGAAATATCTTCTGAAGGCTGTTACAGAAAGCATAAGCCAGGATGCCAGCGATATTTCCAAGAACTCCTGATGGCAATCTGTAATGGAAGCGTGCTAATCAACCCATCCTCTCAACGAGACACCTTCTGGGCTAGCAACGCTATGCGAATGGCTCACCGCATGTGCACTCACCTGCTCGACGTGGGGCTTCTTGGCAAAGGAGATCCTGGCTATGGAGTGAGAAGCTATAGACAGCTCTTGCCCATTCACCTCCCCTTCCTCCACCTCCACCAGACCTAGCGAGAAGCAATGTCATACATATTATTAGGCTGCCAAGGTTACTTAATGATGTCACAACTATGAGGCTATGTAACAGATCACCACTCTCCTTGAAGAACAGTTTTATTTGACCTCACACATATCGACAACTGCAAATCCACGCAACCTCAGGCATGATTTAGATTAGATCTAAGGAAGAAATTTTTCACTCAGAGGGTGGTGAGGCACTGGAGCAGGTTGCCCAGAGAAGTTGTAGATGCCCCATCCCTGGAAGTGTTCAAGGCCAGGTTGGATGAGGCTTTGGGCAACCTGGTGTAGCAGAGGGTGTCCCTGCCCATGGGGACTGGATGGTCTTTGAGGTCCCTTCCAAGTCTAACCATTCCATGATTCTATGATTCTATGTGATGATGCTCAGAAAAATCTAGCCAGACAGACTGACTCATGCCATGTGGGAACGAGTATCGCATCACAGCCGGTGGTTTTCCCTTCAGCCCCTGCTCTGGAGTTTTAGA